CCCCGCTCCGGGGACCCCCCCGGGAACACACCGCCCCCCGGAACCCCCCCAGCGCGCCCCGGACTCCTGCGGCCGGGCGGGGCCCGGATATTCTGCAGCCGCTTCACCAGCAGGGTCTTGCCCACGCCCGAGGCCCCGAGCAGCAGGTACATGGGGCAGCGGGGCCCAGGCCCTCAGCGCCAGCCCATTGCCATGGAGACGCGCTGCCCCGCTTCCATTGGCGGATGCCGCAGAGGAGCTGAGCGCTCACTGGTTGGTTGTCCTGTCTCTCTGATCTCCCGGTATCCAACCACGACCCGTTCAGAGGAAGCCCCGCCCTAGCGGAAGGCGGAAGCGGAAGTGCGGCCTGTGGCGAGCTGAGGCCGAGCGGAGCCGGGTCGGCGGCACCATGGGCAGAGGCGGCGGCACCTTCGAGCGGCTCCTAGGTACCGGGGGTCCCGGGGCGCGCGCGAGTCGGGCGCTGGGCACTTGACCTTTGACCCTCGCCCCCGGGGGGATTCGCCCCCGCCCCGGCAGGGTCGGTGCGGCCCGGGGGCTGGTCCGGAGTCTGGGGCCCAGGGCCAGCGAGTCCGCCTGGGGCCGCGAGCCTCCGGCAGCCGGGCTGCAGCCTGCGGGGCTGAGCTGGGCGTGACCGACAGTAGCCCGGCCTGAGGATCCCCTGCCCCATCTCGGGGGCCGGGGCCTGGGCCTGGGCTCTCCCTGGGAGCGGGGCCAGGACCTACCCCGGGGGCCCTGCTCTCTAGCCTGAGCCCGACCAAAGTGAGGGTAACTCTGTACCGGCTTCTTCTCCTCACCCCATCGTCCTCCAGCACTCGGGAGAGCCCTCTGCACAGGGACCGCTAGACCAAAGCAGACTGGGAAGAACTTCAAAAAGATCTCACCGAACTAATGGCAAATGAAATGTCATGTGGATAAATGTAAAGTAAAGCACATTGGAAAAAATAACCCCAACTATACATACAATATGATGGGGGCTAAGTTAGCTACAGCGAATCAAGAACTTGGAGTCATCATGGATCGTTCTCTGAAGACGTCCACGCAGTGTGCAGCAGCAGTCAAAAAAGCAAACAGGATGTTAGGAATCATTAAAAAGGGATAGAGAATAAGTCAGAGACTATCTTATTGCCCTTATATAAATCCATGGTACACCCACATCTTGAATACTGCGTACAGATGTGGTCTCCTCATCTCAAAAAAGATATACTGGCATTAGAAAAGTTTTAGAGAAGGGCAACTAAAAATGATTAAGGGTTTGGAACAGGTCCCATATGAGGAGAGATTAAAGAGTCTAGGACTTTTCAGCTTGGAAAAGAGGAGACTAAGGGGGGAGATGATAGAGGTATATAAAATCATGAGTGATGTGGAGAAAGTGAATAAGGAAAAGTTATTTACTTGTTCCCATCATCTAAGAACTAGGGGTCACCAAATGAAATTAATGGGCAGCAGGTTTAAAACAAATAAAAGGAAATTCTTCTTCACACAGCGCACAGACAACCTGTGGAACTCCTTGCCTGAGGAAGTTGTGAAGGCTAGGACTATAACAGAGTTTAAAAGAGAACTGGATAAATTCATGGAGGTTTAGTCCATTAATGGCTATTAGCCAGGATGGGTAAGGAAGGGTCTCCCTAGCCTCTGTTTATCAGAGGGTGGAGATGGATGGCAGGAGAGAGATCACTTGATCATTGCCTGTTGGTCCACTCCCTCTGGGGAACCTGGCATTGGCCACTGTCGGTAGACAGGACACTGGGCTGGATGGACCTTTGGTCTGACCCAGTACGGCCGTTCTTATGGAATCACTTTTTCACTTGAAGCCCTGTAACAGTGATTTAAAGATCAACATCAATTATTTCACTGCTCTTCATAACAGATGTCTCCAGCCAATGCATCAGTGTGGGCCGTCTTTGTGAATCTCACCATTCTGCCCCACAACCAAGCCTGACACCTGACTCCCACACTGCCTGTGAGCAGGTATATGGTTATTCCAATATAGTGCTGGGAGGTGGCTCCTGGTGCTCATGGCAGAATGGGACCTTTGGTTTCTGCCCCCTTTGTTCTCCCTTTTAGCCCGGGTGCTTTTCCCTTACCATGGAAAACCCACCTTGCTAAAGATCAGGTTCTGCTACGTGACTAACAGCCTGGTAACAGAGTGGGCTGGGAGGTTCAGAACTGTGTCAGGGAGTGTGACACACTCAGGAAGCATAAAATATTGTTAACTAGAAAAATGGGTGTAGCTTTTGTGGGATGAGCAGAGTCTTGGTGTGCTGTCTAAATCATTCCTTTGACAAACCTGAAAATAATAACTATGACTGAAAGATTGAGAGTGTGGGGAGGCCCAAGTTTGTTAGTGGGTTATGGACATCAGCTTGGACAGCTGCAGTGACAGGATGGTAAGACTGCCGCATAGAAACCTAGATAGGTACAGAAAATATAAATCCTGAGTTATGCTAGCAGTACCTAGGAACCTCTTTCTGCAGCTTCATAGGCTGAGCTGGGGAGGTCCATAACTTACTTACTGCAGACTGAAGTGTAACAAGTTTGGGAATTGAGTCCTTACATTTTCAGAGGAACAAGTTAATTTTGGTGAGGAAGCACCATAAAAATCCTGTACTCACCCACAGTGCATTCACACTGAGTGGATGTTTAAGAACAACCTTTGTTTTGCTATATGGTTTTTGAAACCTGAGGCACCTTGAAACCTCAAGGGACTTGGGAGGAGCCAAGCAGTCCTGATTAGCAGCACAAAAATACCAGGGATTGCGAAGAATCTGTGCAGTTACTGAGCGTCTCGGGGTCTGAATGAATGACAGGGAGTCACTTCTCATCCGAGTGAGATCTCCTTTGTGAATATAACTGAGAGGGTGAAACAGAGGCAGGCCAGTTCCAAACTAGCTAATAGATATTTCAATTCCTTGCAGATAAAGCTACCAGTCAGCTTCTGCTGGAGACAGACTGGGAATCCATCCTGCAGATCTGTGATATGATTCGTCAGGGAGACACTCTGTAAGTGCCATATCACTTCCTGACCTGCTCTAAGCATTGATATCCTTTTCTGCCCTGCTCATTGCGTGAAGGCTAAGAACACAGGACTAGGCACCCTGGGTCAGCCCACGGGTCCACCCAGGCTGTTAATTTATGTGGTACAGGTGACAATGCAATTCAGCATCTTGAGATAACGTTTCTGACTGGGGAAGCTGCAGCTCATGTTCTACCTGGGATCCTGAGAGAAAATGGGCCTTGAACATCACTGGTCTTCCTCTTTTTCTGCTTGGCCTCTGGAGTTCCCCATGCCATAAATTGTGTTCTTTCCCATTGCAAGGATGGGGTTAGTGGACTATTAAGTGGCAGCTGGACTCTTCCTGCAGGTTCTCATCTGCCTGAAAAGTGTGTGTGCTCTCTCTCTTTTTCCAGAGCTAAATATGCAGTCGGTGCTATCAAGAAGAAAGTCAATGACAAGAACCCCCATGTGGCTCTCTACGCACTAGAGGTAACCTGAAGCCAACCCAGCAAAGTGAAGTCTCTCCAGGCCTCTAGTAACACGTAGCCCAGGTGGACACTTGCTCTTCCACAGACTTTTCTCTGAGGAATGAAGTCTATGCAAACTGTCCCCCCAGGAGTGCAGCTGACAGTTGTGCAGAGCTCACCCTCCTCTGATACTGTAGCTTGGAGGGCCTCAACCCATGGCCTGTGATCTGCTGACCCTGTTTCTTTATTTCCAGCTGCCATACTGAGTTAAACCTCTAAAAAAAGACATGAAATCCTGGCATGCTGTTGCTCTACCAAGCAGGTGGTTGCTTTAATTGCAATTGGGACATTATGGGATCCTAAATGGCAGGGAGGCAAAGGCCACCAGTAAGTTTAGGGGTGTGTTTCTTGTTATATCTCTACATTAAAGTGTGACCCTACTATTACCAAAAAGTCAAGACCCCCAGTTCAAGATGCTGCCGGGCTTTTGGAAGTAGCAGATGTTTCTCTGACTGAAGTTGGCACGAAGTGCTCTGGGTTAGGAGGTGCCCCCTGGCTTGTGTGCAGGTTACAGTGCCCTGCAGCCAGGCGCAGTCCACGTTGCGACTCTGCTCTCATGCTGCTGGTCCTGGGCTCTGTAGGGGACTGTGGGTATTAATCTAATCTAGTTCTTTTTCCTTGCAGGTCATGGAGTCTGTGGTCAAGAATTGTGGCCAGACAGTCCATGATGAGGTGGCCAATAAACAGACTATGGAGGAGCTGAAGGAACTATTCAAGGTAGAAGCACCTTGCTCACTTGTTTCCCTTTGGATGGGGTTGGGGGAGAAAGGTGGAGGTGCTGAAACTGTAAATGCAGCATCTTTCTAGGTCACTGTTAACACAGAGGCTCTTGGGGATTTGGAAATGGGGCAGCAGGAGGACATGGGAGAAGCAGAGTGGGGAGCCCCTGTGTAGAAATTCCTGTCAGAAGGAGTGAGCTGGACTGCTCAGGTGAACCACAGGGTCTGTGTTACTTGGAATTTCTCATGAAGCATCATGGGCAGCTCCAGGAACCAGCTGCTGGGGAGGGAGTATCATGAGAGCAAAGCTGCTGTCAGGCTGTGGAAGGAATGATGGCTAACACTGCAGCACATTGGGGGCTCTTTGGGGGTCATTTGATGGCAAGTCCTCACCTTGGTGTTGGGCTTGGTTTAGTCAGAGCCAGCGAAGGCGAGTGAAAATACCCATCTGTGGGGGTGGACACACAAGGTGGGGGGGGCTGGTAGGAAGAGGTGCTGGAGGGGGATGTGGGCTTTCTTCCCATAACCCAAGATGAGATGGAAAGTTTAAAATGTATAAAGAAATCCCTTTACTCTGAGTGCGTAACTAATCTATGGGACAAGCTGCTGTAGGATGTCGATGTCAAGCCAATAGCCGAGCAAGATTTAGAACTAAGCTTAGATGCTGGTATGAATGAGAACAACAAGTTCAGTGACACCGGTGGGATGATGCTTACATGGGCTCTTGATTCTCACGTTCCGGGGCACAAGCGCCTCTCCAGCTGGGGTGGAGACAGGAAGATGTTCTCCTCCCCATCTCCAAGGCACACAGTGGGACAGGAGTACACAGCTGAGTTCAGTAAAGGGATTTTACTCCTTCCTCTGTAGCATCTACCACTGGCTGCTATCCAAGGCAGGTGCCTGGCCATGTCGAGCAGCTCCTGTCTGAGTGTTGCTAATTCTGTCAAGGGGTCTCTTCTCCTACTGTCCTCTTCCGGGGAAGACTCTGGCCTAGTTCAGCTTGCTCTGGCCTGACCTAGTACCTGCTGCCTTGAGCCTGGCTTCTCTTGATTTACAATGGCAGCCACTAAGTCAGGTGGCAGGGGCTGGTTTTCGGGCAGCCCTGGTATCCTAGAGTTCAGTGCGGCTTGAGCATACTGTCTATGCTGGGGCGGGAGGGCGTGTGCTTATACGCTTGGGGTTCCCCAGACCTGTGCAAACGAGGGGCTCTGAGTCGGTCCATTTGAGCCCTGGGGCAGCCTCTCCTCAAGGGTGCTTTCTGTCTGGCCAGGCACTCATTGTGTACCCTGGGCTCCGTGGGTTGCTAATGTAAAACATCTGTTATGTCACAGTCACTGCCGCTCTAGTGGCTGACACCATACTGAATGTAGGCTCATGGACCGCTCAGAGGGGCTTTGGGGTAGGTATTGAGCTTCCCAAATATAGGATCAGATCAACAGTCTCTGATTCTGCTCAGGTTCTTATGTGAGCTGTGCTCAGAGCTCCCTAAATGACCGAGGTGCATTCTTGCTCATTTCTTTAGAGACTTTCACTCTTCTGAATCCCTGACTGCTGCTGAAGTAATTTGGGTGGCCCCTTGGCTGTGGGGGTTCTGTCGTCACTCTCTTTGTGGTGCAGGCTCCTCTCAGGTCTGTCTGAGTTTGGAGCTGCAGATGTCTCTACAAACCTGTACTGAGCTCGCCCTCAATTGAATGTGAAGCTTGAGAGTGCTTGGAATCTGTGTCTCTGCTTGCTGAGGGAATTTCCAGAGCAGCCAGTCATGTGATTTGGTGATGACATGATCAGCTGATGGCAGGGCCCTCTTGGAAGCTGGTTCAGACTGAAACAGGCTGTGCGGAGCTGCTTGCAGCTTCCGGAGCTGCTCAAGCCCTCCTGCCTGTTGAAGGTCAGGAATTCCTCCTGTTGCCTGGGGTATGTTTAGTGTGTTCCTGACGGGGTGGGGTTGTGAACTGGAGTTAGTGTCTGTGAGCTGAGGTATGCCGGGACCCAGAGCTGAGGCAGGTTGTGACTAATGAGACGTGATTAGTCATTCTCATGAATTGCTGTGACTGCATGGTGACGGTTCCTGCTGGTGGGAGTGAATCGAGGACGCTTGGATACCCCGAGAAATTAGCCTGGCCTGCATAAAAGGGGAGCAACTAGGAAAGGCCCTTGGGGGCAAGTGGGGTGCAATCAAGATGCTTTGGAGAAGGATCCCATTCTCCATGCTGCCCTGGGGAACACCTTGGTCCGAAGGATTTTAGTCCCATGTTCTTTTCTTGGGTGGCGTTCAGCCCTCCTGTTAGGGGAGGGGGCTAAGTGGGCCACTGCATTTGCCTTTATTAAAGTGCTCTTCCATTGGTCGGTGCCTTATGTGAATGGGGCGAGTCCTCCCCAGTCTCCTGCTCTCACTGCAAGCAGCGCCTTGCTGGCCTGTTTCGTGTTGGCCCCTCACTCCACGGTATGCATGTCTCACCAGGACACAGCGGAGGGTGAGTATCACAAAGAGCCCCCACCACAGCCCATGCTTTCCCCTCTGTGCAGAGACAAGTGGAAGTGAACGTTCGCAATAAGATCTTGTACCTGATCCAGGCCTGGGCTCACGCCTTCCGCAACGAGCCCAAGTACAAGGTGGTGCAGGACACCTACCAGATCATGAAGGTGGAAGGTAAGGACTCAGTGGGGGAAAAGGGGCAGGTGAGTCTCCCATTGCGCTGACAGCCAAGCACAGAGGATGAGCCATGGGAGGGCAGGGAGCAGGCAGCAGTGCCAGCCAGGTGTGGGAGAAGGGCTGGTACAGACGGGTTTACACACAGTGGCCTCCCTGCTACCTGATGGACCTGTTGGGGTGACTTGAATCCAGTTCCTGTTGCAGAGCGGCCTCCACCAGATGGCTGCTTCACCCTGGCCCTGCAGCCCACTAGGAATGATGTGGTTTGGCAGAAGTCCCTGGAAGCCAGAGCTGGAATGTTCTCCTAGGAAACTTGCACATCCTCCTGGGAATGGCTCCGTTCCTGGGGTGGGCAGCTGAGAACTTGGATGTGTGTCTGGATTTCCCCAAAGTGCTGGGTGCATTGGAAGGCAGTGCCTGTGATTTTGGGCATTAACGCCACTGATTCTGCCTGGGATGAGTGGCTGTGAATCTGCGGGAGTCCCATCGTGGCAGGAAATGCCGCATTTCTCACCCTGATCTCAGGCTTCCAACATATGTTTTACCATAGGGCCCCAGTTGCCTAGTCTGAGTGTGTGTAGCCGGGGTTGTGCTCTGCATTCGGAGTAGACTTGAGCCAGACCTGGGAGCAGAGGGATGCCCTAGGATCTGATCACCGATGTACGGACACTTGCTCTCCCAGCTCCCCTGTGAGGCAGGTGATGTGGCTGAAGTTAAGTGATTGCTTAGAACTCCTGCACAGATGGCAAAGCAGGGACTAGAACCCAGGAGCCCTGCCTCTGTCCCCAGCTCTGAGCACTAGGCACCACTGCCTCCAGTCTGGTGGGATCCCACTTTACAATGAGATGTTGTTCCACTCTTCCTGCAGGTCATGTGTTCCCAGAATTCAAGGAGAGCGATGCCATGTTTGCTGCAGAAAGGGTGAGCTCCCCAGTCAGAGCGGTGGAGAGGAGCTCTGGCATTACAGAGAGGGCTGCTGCTGTCATTTCTATCCGACCCTTCAACTGGTGGTCAAACAACATTAAATCCCAGAATCCCAAAGCGCCTTCCGTGTGTTGTACAACTGCCTGGATTCTATACACCTCACCGGAGCGCAGCCAGCCCTGGGGCGGGGGAGAGTTCAGGAAAGGAAGTGCAGAATCCCCTCTCCTCTGGACCTGCCCCTGCAGGGAGCCAATACCGAGCACGTAGGGATCAGTAATCCCACATGAGGGCAGCCTCCCAGTCCTGTGGCTTGCCAAGGGCTCCTCCAGCAGCACAGTCTGCCCAGCACGCTAGGGCATCACTGGCTCAGCACAGGGGCATCCGACCGTGACTCACTTCTGTGGCCAGTGGCTGCCGGAGCAGACTTGCACGGGAGAGGGCCTCCTGCTGCAGGGGTCTCCCCACTCCAGGGAATGGCCTGGCTTGGGCTAGCCAGTGGGAGCTCCAGGGTGGCAGCCCGAGAGGCCCTCTGGAGCCAGCGTCAGGGCTCTGGGTGCTGGGCCCTGGTCCTTTCCTTACGCAGGTTTCTGTGCTCTGTGGCAGGCTCCTGACTGGGTGGATGCTGAAGAGTGTCACCGATGTCGAGTGCAGTTTGGGGTCGTGACCCGCAAGGTGGGTGCTGCTGCTTATTCCTCTTTAGTTCCCTTCCCTGCATGACACTGCTGGGGCCTTGGTCTCCTCCTCCCTTGTCCCGCAGTGTGGGCTTGGCTGGGAAGCTGAGCTTTAGGGGAAGGGGGCCAGCAAGCACCCTGTGCAATGGGCATGGAGGGGCATGACCTCGTCCCTCTCTTTGCAGCATCACTGCCGGGCCTGTGGGCAGATCTTCTGTGGAAAGTGCTCCTCCAAGTACTCCACCATCCCCAAGTTTGGCATTGAGAAGGAGGTGCGGGTGTGTGAGCCCTGCTATGAGCACCTCAACAAGTCAGTATCTCCAGGGGGTTCTGCACACCGCACTTGGGTTGGAGTGGCGGGGGCCGGCGGTGGGCATGGGGCTGGCCTTCTGGAGCAAGGAAGGGTCACCTCAGCCCTGTGTACTGGAGCCTTTCTGAGTCGGGTCCCCAGGGGCTGGGCAGCCTGGCAGGAGAGCTGCCCCTTTGGAGACCGGAGGGATTCAGGAGATGCCACTCAACGATGGGAGTGTACAGGTGACGCCAAGGCCTGGCTCTGCTGCCTCCATTGCCCCCATCCACTGACTGCTAGCTGGGAGCTGTGCTCCTGGTTGGGGCTGGGGTGGAGTAGGGCCATGGCCCTCGCTGGGGCTGGGGCAGCATGGGGCCAGGCAGGGCTCAGGAATGCTGCCTGTAGGCCCTGGTCTCTACTGTCACCTCTATCTGATTGTAGGAAAGCTGAGGGCAAAACTGCTGCCACCACTGAGCTGCCACCCGAGTACCTGACCAGCCCCCTTTCTCAGCAGTCCCAGGTAAGTGGCTGTCCTGCCTGCCAGGGGCGAGCTGGGCTGCAGGCAGGGGTAGCCCCAGCGGTTCCCTTCTCCTCCTGCTCACTGTCCCACTGAGCAGCCCCCTCTCCATCTGCAGCTGCCCCCGAAGCGTGATGAGACGGCCCTCCAGGAGGAGGAGGAGCTCCAGCTGGCCATCGCCCTCTCGCAGTCGGAGGCCGAGGAGAAGGAGAGGATGGTTTGTACCCAGCTCTAGGGCTGCGTGAGGGAGCACTGACTGGATGCTCCCCAAGCCTCTGGCAGGTTACTGCTGTGGGCTTTGCACCAGCAGGTCCCCAGCCCTGGGCTGGACGGAGCCCTTCCCTGGTGCATAGTGGGTTGAGGGGGGTGCTGTGCTGCGCTGCAGGTCTAACCCCTCCCATGGATCTGGACTGAGGGTCTCTTTCACCAGGATAGTGAGGGCTGGTGCTGATCCTGCCTATGGGGCAGGGCCTGGCAGTTGTTAGCGGGGCAGGCCCCATGTAGACACTAGCAGCTTGTGCCTCCCAATGGCTAGTGAATGTGCAGTGGCCGGGCCTGGCCCGTGCAAGGTGCCTCACCCTCCAAGACAGGCTCGTCTCGTGTTGTTGAGCTGGACAGTTCTCAGGGCTGATCTTGTACTTCCCTCTGCAGAGACAGAAAACGACCTACTCCGTGTACCCGAAGGCTGAGCCCACGCCTGTCACCTCGTCCGCACCTCCAGTCAGCACCCTCTACTCCTCCCCTGTGGTAAGTGCTCAGCCGCCCTGTTGGATCAGCGCCCCCAGCCCCAGATCTCTTTGCCAGGTCACCGGGGTAAAGCCTTGTTCGGAGGGAACTAAAGCCGTGAGAACATGGCGCTGTTCAGCCCCTTCCTGAAAACACTGCTGTGCTGGGGGCGCCCAGGAGACCCTGCTCTAAACACTGGGCGCGCTGTTCCTCTGTCGCATGGACAGGAAGCGAACCACCACCTGGCCGAAGGAAGAAAAGTGCCCGCTGTCCCTCCCAGTTCTGCACTCCTGCTGTTGCCTGGCACTGGCTGGCAGGATATGCACAAGTCTGGGCAGGGTACCTGTCATAGCAGTGAGTTGTGTAGTGGGCTGCGGAGTCCCCATGTGTCTCTAAGATCTGACGTCCCCCCTCCTCTCTCTCTTTCTCCCCAGAACTCCTCTGCTCCGCTGGCTGAGGACATCGACCCCGAGGTAAGGACACAGGCCCTTCTGGCGCACAGCGTAGGCTGGTTCCCAGTCAGGCTTTGGCGCTGATCTTCTACCTCTGCTTTTCCCGGCAGCTGGCTCGGTACCTGAACCGTAACTACTGGGAGAAGAAGCAGGAGGAGGTTCGCAAGAGCCCCACTCCGTCTGCTCCACTGTCGCTCTCCGAGCCAGCTGCCCAGCCTGGGGAAGCTCATCCCATCCCTCTCGGTGTCGTGGAGGTAAGATAGGGGCCCGGTCTCACACCCATCTCTCTGAGGTCTGGCGGGGTCGGTTTGAATCAGTGCTCCCTGGGAATTGCCTGACACCAGCCTCGCCCCGGTGGTAAAGCACAAGTCCGGCTCCGGTCTCGGTGTGGGTTGTGGATCCCCACTCCCGAGAGCCTGGGGCTCAGGGGCTCACTGTGCTGCCCTGTGTCTCCAGCAGCAGTACCAGAATGGGGAGTCCGAGGAGAACCACGAGCAGTTCCTGAAGGCTCTGCAGAATGCCGTCACCACCTTCGTCAACCGTATGAAGAGCAACCACATGCGGGGCCGCAGCATCACCAACGACTCAGCCGTGCTCTCCCTCTTCCAGTCCATCAACAACATGCATCCCCAGCTGCTGGAGTTGCTCAACCAGCTGGATGAGCGCAGGCGTAGGTGGCTTCGGCTCCATTCCCCGGGGCAGGACACGACTGCTCCCTGCCAATGGCTTGGGAGCAGCTCTCTGGGACTGTGCGGAGACGGCCTGGGGGGTCTCTGTGGAGGGGCGTACCCCATCTCAGGGCTGGCTGGGGGCCACCTGCTCTATCTGGAGGCAGCTAGTGCTCAGGGCTGGGTGAGCTCAGCAGATAGCAGGCCTGGATGCTGCCTTGCCCTGCAGGAGCCTGATGCTGCGTTTCTCTCCCCAGTGTACTATGAGGGCCTGCAGGACAAGCTGGCGCAGATCCGGGATGCTCGCGGGGCCCTGAATGCTCTGCGGGACGAGCACCGCGAGAAGCTGCGCCGGGCGGCCGAGGAGGCAGAGCGCCAGCGCCAAATCCAGTTGGCACAGAAGTTGGAGATCATGAGACAGAAGAAGCAGGTGAGACAGGGAAGCCTTTTCCAGGTGCCTCATAGAGGGCAGGTGTCGTGCCAGGGCCATTCCCAGGGCTTGCTGGTGGCCCTGGCAGCTGTTCCAGCTTGTGCCCTGGGCTGGGCTGGGCTGCTGTTGGGGGGCTGGAGGCAGCACTAGTCTGTGGAGCGGGTGGAGTCTCTGGGGCTGGCCTTGGTGTCTGAGCTGCATGGCCAGGCTCCTGATGTGTGTGGTGGTGCCGCTCCCTGCAGGAGTACCTGGAGATGCAGCGGCAGTTGGCCATCCAGCGGCTGCAGGAGCAGGAAAAGGAGAGGCAGATGCGCCTGGAGCAGCAAAAGCAGACCATCCAGATGAGAGCCCAGATGCCAGCTTTCTCTCTGCCCTATGCCCAGGTACAGCGGCCATGCCAGGGAGCCCTCCCATGAGCACTCACCCCAGAACTCTCCCCTTCCTTCACGCCCTCTCCTTTTTGCAGCTCCAGGCCATGCCAGCAGCAGGAGGGGTGATCTACCAGCCATCCGGTCCCACCAGCTTCCCAGGCACCTTCAGCCCCGCAGGCTCGGTGGAGGGCTCTCCCATGCACAGTGTGTACATGAACCAGCCAGCTCCCGGCAGCACTGGCCCCTACGCACCGATGCCTGTTGCAGGGGCAGGTGAGAGCCTGGGCCAAGCAGAGGTAGGCAGGGCTGGAATGCAGCAGCATCCCCTCACTGTGCCCTCTCTGCTCCAGATCCCAACATGGTGAATGCCTACGTGTACCAGGCAGGAGCAGGAGGCGGGCAGGCAGCGCCGCAAGGGCAGGTGGTTCCCACCACCAACCCAGCCTACTCCTCGTATCAGCCGACTCCGACGCAGGGCTACCAGGCAAGTGAGCAGAGCGCTGGGTCCCCCTTGCCCGCAGTGTGTCGGACTCGTGGTAAATCTGCAGCGGGTGGCACAGGATGTCCCCTCCCAGGCCCTTGGGATCCCCTGCTGCACAGTGGGGGTGGGGATCGGTCCCAGATTGCTGGGTCTCCCCTGGTGTCCCCTGTGGGATGGGTGGAGCCAGCTGCTCCCTGGACCCTGAGGGTGTTGGGGGAGAGCTGTGTGGCTGCTTGGAGTGCCCCAGGCTCACCCTGTGCTCTTCCCCATAGAACGCCGGCTCCCAGTCACAGAGCATCCCTGCCATCTCGCAGGCCCCCCAGTCTGGCACCATGGGCTACATGGGGAGCCAGTCTGTCTCCATGGGGTACCAGCCCTACAACATGCAGGTGAGCACCCCCCAAGGGTGAACGGCTCGGTGCCCTCTTGCAACCTGGCTTGGGGATGGGTGTTGGTTGCTGTGGAGACTGCTCACCAGCCAGGGAGTGAGGGTAAAGGGGGCCCCTGCTGGGGGAAGGGTGATAGGGCTGCATTTTCTGTATCCCCTTTACCCGTGTAGGAGACCTACCCTGGCCCTTCACTGTTGCTGTTCTGGACCCCAGGTCCCTGGCAGCGTGAGCCCACTGGGCCTGGCTGGGAGCTCGGCGGCCTTTGCCCCCTCGGTAAGGGGCAGAGGTCTGGCGGCTGGTCTGATTGCTCTCCCCTGCCCCCGCTCTAGGGCCTCATGTCGACCCTTCCTGGGCAGGAGCCGGCTCTGAGCAGCCTGCCACCCCAGCAGACTTACCTCTCGGGACAGCAGCCCATGTATCAGCAGGTGAGTCTGCCAGCCCTGCACGAACCCAGTGTCTCCTCGTCACCCTCACTTCAGCTCCCTCCCCAGGCGGTTGGTCACCAACTGCCCTGATACCCCCCCCCCCACCAGCACCCTTATCGCCAGGAGCCTTGGCTGTGGCCCTGCCTCCCCCACGTAGGGCGCTGAGACCTCCAGATCCAGGTGTATTCACCTGGGGGTTGGGCATGGGTGGGAGTGACCAGCTGCAGCCCTGTGCCACCTCCAGCAGCCCTCTGGGTAAGGTTTGGGGGAGTGGGGTGCCAAGCAAGAACTGCCTCTTAACAAAGAGTTTGTCTGTTCCAGATGCCCCCCCCTGCAGGGCCCCCCCAGCAGCAGCAGCCTCAGCAGGCCCCGTCGCAGGTACAGCAGGCCCAGGGCAGTGGCGAGGCCCAGCTCATCTCATTCGACTGATCTCGGCGAGGGGGGCTGCCCAGTGTAACACTATTGTCTGCAGGAGTCACTTATGTACTTAACTAGCCATTTCTGTCTCTTCCCCACCCCCTTCCCTGTGGAACGGCCCTGCTCAAGGTGGGGTGGGACCCTGGGGCCCCACCAGCTGGCATGCACCCTCCTGGCCTGGCAGGGACCTCCCTGCTGCTCTGGCTCCCTGAGGCTTTTTCCCTGCCCTGTCCTCACCTGGCTGAAATGTGTCATGGTTGCTGGAAGTTGTGAACCTCCCCACCCCCACCAACAGGTGAAGAACGAGTGGGCGCTTGGCCCTTCAGGAAGAGACTTCCGCAAGGCAGAGGCTGCAGCCTGGCTGCTGGGCTTCCCCCCAGGGCTGTGTGGGCAGGATGGTGACTGAGAGTCAGCCCTGAGAAGAGCTCCAGGAACGTGAGCACTAATGGCACAGGCCAGGGACTCCCTTCCCTGCTCTGCAGCAGGCGAGAGACTTAAACATGCCCTAAGCTTGCTGCTGTCCTGACCCTAGAACAAATGGGGCAAGGAGCTCTGAGCAGAGCTGCCCCTGTGCACAGAGCACAGCCTCTGTCACTATCCCTCTCTGCAGCGTGCACCATGGCTGGCTCTTCTGCCCCAGGAGGAGCTGAGCCCCTCACCACAACCCTGATCCCGTGTCCCTCCATGGGAGCCTGGCCCTGCCGCATGCCCTATGCCCATATCCTCCACCCCTCCTTGGGAGCCTGGGCCCTCCCTGCTTTCTGAACACTCATCTCTCATACGTAGTGGTGGAGTAGCCGGAATGGAAACAGTGACAATAAAATGTATTTAAAGAGCTGTTGCTCTGGGCCTGGTGCTGGCTCTGCCCTAGGGCCTAAGCGGGCCCTGGTGCTGCTGTTCCTGCGAGAGCAGGGCCATTGCAGAGGGGTTTGGTGGAAGGCTTGCTGGCCGGCAGTGAAGCAGGGCTGTAACGTGCTCCACTGTTGATGCCCTCGGTGCCAAGCAAAGAGCAGACAGGGTCAGCCTGAAGGGAAGGAGGATCCTAGCCTGGGACTCTCGCTCTGCAGGGGCTTGGATGCACTGCTCACCACTCCTAGGCCGCTGGCCTCAGTGCAGGCCCCAGGGAGCAGCTACTCTCAGCCCACGGCAGAGACGGATTAATTTAAAAGCATTTATTCTTGGGTGTCCGTATCCCATGGGCTTCAGGCAGCCATGCTCAAACATCCTGCAGCCCAGCTGGGCCTACGCCATCTCCAGCTCCCTCCTCCGAAAAATCAGGCATTTGGTGTATTCTGGCATTTCCAGCTGGCAATGAGGAAAACAGGCATTAAGGTGCAGAACAACCAGCTTCTAAAGGGCTTTAGAGCAGTGACCAAGGCCTCCAGGCGTGAGCTGCGGGGCTGGAGTAGAGCTGTGTGTGTGGAGGGGGGCTAAAGTGCAGTGGGCTGGGTGTGGGGCCTGGGGGCCGCTGCAGCGCTGTGGCTGGAGAAAGTTTGCCATTGCCTGCTCATGCTGCCAGCCCCTCATTTTCATAGCAACTAACATTCAGTAGCTTCTAGGCTCCCTGCAGCTTAGCCCAAAGCCTTGAAACCTGCCTGTTTCCCACACCACACTGAACCTTACCATGCGCTCGAGGCGCAGTGCGTTGGGGGTGGCCAGCTGCCGCAGCTCCTCCACATCCCGCAGCCCCCAGGCTGGATTCCTGCCAGTCAAAAAAACAACAGAAGGCTGGAGAGGCACAGAGCAGCGTGCCGGGCTCTGGGGTGGATATAGCTGCCCTGGACTTTCCAAGGGGTGGGGCTGGGCTCATCCCCAGCTGCTGCCCGGTGATGAGCTCCAGCCCGCCCCAGATGCTGCCTGGGGAAGAGCCTCCCGCAGAGCACAGCCTGTGCCTGTAAGTGGGAGCCTGTCCTGGGGAAGCTGCCACAGGTGACTTGTGCTCTCCCAGGTGGGGGAGACAGTTGCACCCGGGAACAGGCTGTGATGTGTCCAGTCTAGAGCCCATCGCCTGTGGGCTGGATGCAGATTTGGCCCCTTCAGGGCTTCCACAGGGCAAGCCAGCCCCTAACTACCAGAATTGCTGGAGCCCCTGGGAAGAATTCAGCCCCTGGGGCACACCTCACCTCTCCTGGAGCTTCTCCTCCAGCTCCACGTTGCACTCAGGGCTGATGATCCCATTGATGGCAAAGGGCTGTGGGCACAAAGTGCAGTCAGAGTCACTCCTTGCCCTTCCCAGTCCCACTTCTGTGCCCTGAGGAGGTGGTGGCAGAAGCTGATGGGTGTTTAACCCCTAGGCTTTATTTGATTTCAAGCCTCTCCCATGGGGTCTGGACATGGCATTGCTAGGTCCAGCAGGCAGGGCCACAGGAGGGGTAAGATGTAATACGCTGTGAGCTAAGACAGTAGCAGCCGGTGCCTGCCCCCTCGCTGGAGGAGCTGGGCAGAGCTCTGGGGACCCGCATCCCCGTATTTTGCTCAGCAGATTGCACAGCCTGTCCTGTGGGGGGGGGGGAAACACAGGCTCCTGGAGACCGTGCAGGGGGCCCAAGACCGCTCTGGTGGTTCACAAAGGGGCCTTGGGCTTCAGATTCCTGGGAAGACCTAATATCCTCCTGCTGCTTCGGCGGGGAGGTGGGAGGGGGCAGAGGTTGTTGGTTGAGATTCTATTCTTCATACTTACCCCGTAGATCAGGCAAACTCCCCCGGGCTTCAGCAGCTGGCCCACACCCTGGAAGAGTACCTGCAACGCAAAGGCAGGATGTCATCCAGGTGGGCACTGGGAGGGGGGGAGGGTGAGCCCAGGCCAGGGCCTGCCCCATATCCCAGTAGGAGCAGGACAAGGTGCCAGCCCTGCTCCTCCCGAGCAATAATCCCTTGGGGCGGTGCGGGGTGCAGGCCTGAAAGGGCCACAGGCTCCTTCCGCCAGTGGGAGGAAGGATGTCTTTCTCACAAGGGTTGCTTGTTGTGGCGCCCCCATGTTCCCTGCAGGGCTCAGTTTGTCCACACATGCACACCTCCAGGCCTTGGGCAAGGAAGTGCAGCAGGTTGATGATGACGATGACATTGCAGCAGCCCTGGCTCAAGCCTGCCCACTGGTCCCAGGGCTGAGAAACGTCAATGGCCAGTGGCTTCTTCACGTTCTGCACCTTGGTGGCTCTGATGTAGGCAGAGATGCTGGAGGAAGAGAGACAGGTAAACCGGGAGAGGCTGCTGGTGTCTGCCTGGTGGTGCTGCACTGCACCCAGACAGAGGCTGCTGCCTGCTCTCATAATGGGGGATGCTGCAGGAGCTGCCCTGAGGTGCCAGGCTGGGATCCATTTAGCTACTGCCAGGGCCACAGTACTGCCAGCATCACCCTGCAGCGCAGGCAGTGGCTGTCTTGCCGACTCCAGGGGGGGAAGAGGTGCATTCAGCTAGACCAGGGGTAGGCAACCTATGGCACGTGTGCCGAAGGCGGCACGCAAGCTGATTTTCAGTGGCACTCACGCTGCCTGGTCCTGGCCACCGGGCCGGGGGGTTCTGCATTTTAATTTAATTTTAAATGAAGCTTCTTAAACATTTTAAAAACCTTATTTACTTCACATACAACAATAGTTTGGTTCTATATTATAGACTTATAGAAAAAGACCTTCTAAAAACATTAAAATGTATGACTGGCACGCGAAACCTTAAATTAGAGTGAATAAATGAAGACTCAGCACAGCACTTCTGAAAGGTTGCCGACCCCTGAGCTAGACCCTTCCCCCTCCATTAAAAGCCAGAACAGGCAGGAAGTGAGGCCTTGTAGGGGATGCATCTGGCTGCTCTCACCCAGATCATGGGCAAACACCATCTCTCTCCCTGTTGTGCTGTAAGCACTGATGCCTGGACCAAGACGTACCCAGCATGGCAGCTGCCTCTAAGGGAGTGCAAGAGGAGGGATAGGGCTGCAGGAGAATTGCAAGTGAGGTGGGCCATGCAGCCTAAGCCCCCCAGCTCTACAGCTGTGTCTCCTTGCCCTTGGAATTTGTCCTGTGCTGGGGCCACTATAAGTGTCATCCCAATGAAAGCTGTTACAAGCCCATGGGGGTGGGAGTCACTGCAAGATGGCATGTTCCCCTCCCCCTCCCCGATGCAGGTGTTATATGTTCTGATTAGCCTAAGCCTGAACAGCCTAGAAGGACTTGGCAGGGTTTGCGCAATTTCCAAAGGCAAAGTGAGCACAATCCCCTGCTGAACACTGACAGACTCCTGTTGTCACTGCCTGAAGTGGCAGTGTTTGAGAGCTGGGGCCTACCCCTCCTGTGGGCTGGGGAAGGGAGCTGGCAATGCTGTGGGAACAGCAGGTCAGGGCACTTTCTGCTCCTCATTACAGACTCCCCACTGTGTCCGTGATTGGAGCTGTAAGCAGCCCCACCACCATGGGAGTGAAATCCTCAACTCCCCAAATCCTTCCCCGTGGGAAGCTGTCAGCAGCCAGGATGGGGACACGAGCAGCTTTCATGCTGTGGGTGCTGTCCCTGCCTCTGCCCAGGGCTCCTGGAAGGACCAGACACAAGACGTACCTCTCATGGGCAGACGGGCTGATTTCTGAAGGCTGCCAGGTGACATTAGGCAGGGCTTGGGCAAAATGCACCACATGTTGCCCAGTCCCAGAGGCCAGCTCCAGCCCAAAGGCTTGGCTTGTATTATCCACGTAGTCAGCCAGTACCTCCAGGATCAGCTCCTTATTCCTCTCTGCCATGGGAGACACCAGCATCTTCTGCCACTGACCACAGGGCTTGAGGCTGCCACTAGAATGGTGCTGCCTGGATTTCTGCTCCTGCCTGACAGGGCTGGCTCTCCTCACAGATGGCCCAGCCTAGATTTATTAAGGCAAAGAAGATTACTGAGTGACGCTTGTCCCCGGGAGAGACGCTTAGGTGGGGCGGACAAACGGGGGAAAGGCCCGTGTGGTTCCTCCAGCCACGGGAGGCCGGCAGGGTGTCGAGGCCCTAGAATACAGCCACGGTTCAGGGCCTCAGCGTGTCTCTTCGGCCCCGGCCAGGCGGCTGGGAATGCTGCCCAAGGCAGCGTGGCCCCGGGCACAGCCCCGAGCCCCACGCCTGCCTGGGCCTCATTCCCCACAGAGCCCCAGGTCACACAGCAGGGCATGGAACCCAGGCGTCCTGGCCCCGCCCCTCGCACAGGCCCCGCCCCTCTCTGCGCCTCCCAAAGGCCAAGTTGCCCTTGTTGCGGAAGCGGTGCATGCTGGGCTCGGAGGATTTAGCGCCCGCTGGCGGGTGACCTGCCTGAGCCATAGAGACGTGGGAGGCGGAGGCTAGACTGTCACCCTTTGCCAGTGACATGGCCTGGGCAGGGCTAGAGCGCCGCGGCGACCATAGAGACTGGGGGGCAGAGCGCCGCCACCGCGTCCTTCGCCTGCTGCAGCCCGCCTCTGAGGCCGGGCGTCTCCTTCCTGCTGCCGGGACCCAGCGTGCTCGGTGCCGGCGCCGCCATGCTGCCCGCCGCCCGCCCCGTGGGGGGGCCCTGCCTGAGGGGGCTCCGGGCCGCCGCCCGCCTGCTGCTCCGGTACCGGGGCCGCCCCGTCCCCGCGGGAGCCCCGAGCGGCCGGTCCCCGCGCGCGGCCCTGGGGCAATCCCGGCCCCGTCCCCTGCGGGTCCCGCCGCCCCGCTCGCGCGGCTCGGGCTGCGAGCCCGGCACGGCCCGTTCCCGGGGGGGCGGGGGGCTGCGCGGGGCTGTGCGCGGGGCACCTCCGGGCCTGGCTAGAGCCTGACCGGGCCTCTCTTTCCATCGACAGGCAGCCGCTGCCGGGAGTCTGCGCTGGGAGGATGCTGAGGACCGGCTGCCCCCGAAGGGCCGAAGCCCTGGCCAGCGCCCCCTTGGATAACGCCCCGAAGGACTATCCGCCCAAGATCCGGCAGCTGGTGCAGGACATCGCTGGCTTGACACTGCTGGAGATCTCGGACCTCAATGAGTTGCTGAAGGTGGGCAGGACTTGGGCAGGCTCTGCCTCTCCCTGTCAGGGGCTCGCGACGGGTACCGGCCGGGGGGGGGGTCAAATCTCTCTCTCCTGCCCCCTGCAAGTCTCTCCTCTTCCCCCACCAGCTCCTCCACGGAGCTCCCAGCTGTTTGCTGCTGCCTCTCCCTGTGGCTGCAGCTGGCCAGCTCCAGGAGCTGCTGCACAGGAAGGAGGCCCAGCTAGCAAACCCTGGCAGAAATTGGGGGGAGGGCATGTGATTCCCCCCCCCCTCCCCACATGTAACCTCTGGAAAGTGCCCCACTTTGTATAGTTGGGTAGGTAGATGGCCTGGGCTGTACTAAGTTGGGGCTCCCAAGGCGTGGGGGGAAGGCAGGATACTGGAGCTGTTCCTCTGCCCTTTGTCTATGGCTGGGGTGTTCTATGGTGGTCCCTCTTCTTGCTGGGAACACAGGACAGGCTTGAAGTGCTGTTGATTACACTTTGTTGCCTTCTGCAGAAGACATTGAAGATCCAGGACATGGGGCTGATGCCGATGGGTGGAATGATGCCACCACCTGCAATGCAGTCAGCCACTCAGGTAACTCCCAGGTGCTCTGCTAGGGTCCTCCTCCTTGCCCCTGGACAAATGCCAGGGGAAGGGAAGCGCTGTCTAGGAAGATGGGCATTGGTTTAACCTTGTACTTTGGCAAATTTAGTTCTAGTGAGTCCAAAAATGCCCCACCTGTGATTCTGAAGGTTGGTTCTGAGCTAAACAGACCTACTCCAGGTTCTCCTAGGGGTCTTTATACCTGTGGTGATTCTAGACAAGGAACTGGAGTGTTGGTAGAAGTTTATATAGCTGCCTATCAATCTTGGAGCATCTTTCTCTGTGCGAGTGCTGTGCCCCTCTGCAGGTTTGCAGTGAGGTGAGTTCCCCAGTTGGCCAGAAGGGGCTGTTTGTCACATCCTGTGTGTGGCAGGGCGGAAGGGTCCTGAATGCTGCTATACTCGGCCTCACTAGCTTGTGTTGGTTCCAGGTAGCAGAAGAAGAAGAGGCACCCAAGAAGCAGGAAAAAAAACATTTCACTGTCAAGCTGACTGAGGTGAATGCTGTGGAAAAAGTAAAACTGATCAAGGAAGTGAAGAACTGCATGCAGGGGCTGAACCTTGTCCAGGTGAGCACTTACCTCTGCCTGTATGATCTTGGTCACTGCTTGAGCAGCATCTCCCTGGGGCTGTGCTGAAAGCTCTGAGCCTCTGCCCAAACTATTTTCAAAAGTGCTTTTTAAAACAGAGACATTGGCTGTACTTCAGAATAGCAGCTTGGATTCTTCCATGTCCTTGGACTCCCTTTCCAGTGCACAGCGGTGTCCCAAGTGCATGGGGACTGAGCAGAGGCCTCCCAACAGGAAGGCTGTGTCCACACTACCATGATAAGTCGACCTACGCTACGCAACCCCAGCTACGTACCTTAGGTCGAATTACTGTGGGAGATCAATGGGAGAAACTTTCCAGTCAACTTACCTTACTCTTCTCGTTGAGGGTAGAGTACAGGGATCGACTGGAGAGTGATCTGCTGTTGATTTGATGGGTCTTCATTAGACCCGCCAGTGGCTCGAGCTCGGCATAGATCTGGGCTGTAGTGTAGATGTGGCCAAAGTGTCTGCACTCACTTGTCTCTATTGATACCTTCAAAACAAGTGTCCCTCCTTCCCAGGACTTCTGGGTGGTTGGTTTCTAGAGGCAATAATGCACATTCTCACCAGATGGGGGCAGCAAAAACCTAACCCTAACCATGTGAGAGCCTCTGAGTCCCACATGGAATCTGCAAGAGAGGAGGGGCCATGGGAGGAAGTACTTTTTTTTTTTCCCCCTTTAACAGCAGAGGAGTTTATTTATCCTATTAAGTACAGGAAATCCCAATCAAACAGCTTAACTTGCAGGCACAGGTTAAACAAGCCATGTAAAGCATTTTTTACTGAACATGTGAAAAGTCAGGGCCTAAGAGTCCAAAGACAGAGTTGTCAGAACAGTTCATATTCGAGTCGGAGCTTATTTATCTTAAACTCTTCTGATGTTGCTTGTGTGTCCTGGAGGTGGAAATAGTTCCGCAGATCTGTTTAAATTGGCCCAACCAGCGGCATTTAACAAGCACTGAAGCAATGAAAGATTTAGAGACTGCATTTACTGATGTGCGATTAGATTGTCTTCCTTCAACACCCTCTTCGGCATCTCAGGCAGGCTTGCAGAGAGCCACAGCAGAAAAGTGAACTTCTCCTCTCTCACGTTCTGTGAACTGTCTGCAGATCTTGGCAGAACCCTTCAATAGCAAATCATCTGAACTTTCTCCATGATTTACAGGGAATTGCATGCGTCCATCCACTTCATACAGGTGTTCATCCACGTTGACAAACCGAATAAAATAGAAGTTCTCTTCCTCTACTTGACACTGGCCTTCTGGTGCAACAGCAGTGTGGACTTCCTGAATAACCTTGTTATTTTCAAGATGTTTTCAGTCACCAATGTGCCTGTGGATGCAGTAAATTGGCATCACCACACATTGTACCCAGGTGCACTCTCCCCAGCAGGCAATGCCACAATTTATCCTAAGATCCCCTGCAGGGCTCTCTGGACTAGCTAGGGCTTTTCATTGCAGCTGGATTCAGTCCAGCAATGGCTTCTCTCCAAGGAGTTTTCTTAATTCAGAGTTACTCAGGGATGTATCCCTCTCATTCACCAGCCTCTTTGTAAGCTGAAATTCCAGTCCTGACCTGCTTCCCTGCATACACGTGTCTGTGGCAGGGCACTCTGTCCTCTCAGAGGAGACTGTTGTCTCATTCTGGGTTTCTCACACAGTTAGGAGCAGAGATGCTTTCTGTTCTGCAGGCCATCTTTAGTATCTGTGGTCTAGGCTCAATATGAGGCAAGGGTGGTAACAACTATCAGGACATAGAAAAGGTAGAAATATATAACAAATATTTCTGTTCTGATTGGGAAAGAAGCAGTAGGAGCAAAACATTAGAAAAAAGTGTTTTAAAAACAGCAGCTAGCCTACACATACGTGTATCTTACCTAAAATCCTGCCATCCCATAGCGGTGACGTATCTGGCTATGTCTACACTAGCACTTCTGTTGGTCAGGGTGTGGGAAAAAAACTATCCCTGACTGACATACTTTTCATCAACGAAAGTGCCAGTGTGGACAGCGCTATGTTGGCAGGAGACGCTCTCTCCCCAACACAGCTACCGCCACTTGTTGGGGGTGGTTTGATTGTGCCAGTGGGAGAGCTTCTCCCACTAGCATAGAGCAGCTACATGGGAGACCTTCCAGCAGTGCAGCTGTAGTGGTACAGCTGTGCCACTGTAAGGTCTGAATGTAGCCATGGCTTCTTCTGACCTCTCTCCTTTTCTCTTCCCCCTCCTACTAGTTCTTGTATCCAGCTTCCCCTGCTCCCCTAAGGGAGTGCTCTTAATAAACCTGTGGGAGTCCTTTGTCTTGTTGATGGACTTTGGCCCTTCTGGCAACACCTATTCTGTAGGCTCAGCAGGAGATCAAGCAAGATTCATTTGAACCAATTGTTTTGGTGACTGTCCTGGGCCATGTCCTCTTTCCTGCCTGTAGAAATACTTAAACCAAGCCACTCTGCCTCCTTCCCCAGACCTAAAGAAGAGCTCTGTGTAGCTCAGAACTTGTACTTTCCACCAACAGAAGTTGGTCCAATAAAAGATAGTGCCTTACCTACCTTGTCTCTAACCCAATATAGTCATACAGGAAAATACCACCCCAATAACCAGCTCATCATACACTATTAATACATTATTAAAATTCAGCTTCATAGTCATCACATGCGTTGTTACACCGCCTAATCCAGGGTCATACATCTAGGATCAAAGTGCACATTATGATTATAAGATGGGGGACCATGTCATGGAAACTGGTAACTTTGAAAAGAGCTTAAGAATCATGGTAGAAAATCAGTTGGACTTGAGCTCCCAATTCATTACTAGTAGAGGATGAACTCTTGGATGTATTAAGTGGAGAATATCAATCAGGAGCAAGGAGGTGGCATTACCTCTGTAAACAGCTTTAGTGATTCCATTACTGGGATACTGTGTCCATTTTTGGGTGTCCACACTTCAAAAAGATTGTTTGCAAATTGGAAAGGGTTTGGAAAAGAGATCCAAGTCTGATCTGAGGTCTGAAAAACTTGCCTTAGAGTGAAAGACTAAAGAGGCCCAGTGTATTTGGTTTCACCAAGAGAAGGTGTAGCAATGACTCGATCGCAGTCAGGTACCTATAAGTGGCAGAGATGTCTGGTTGCAGTCAGCTCTCCTGTCTAGCAGAAAAAGGCAGAACAACATCCAATGGCTGGAAAACGAAGGTAGGCAAATTCAGACTAAAAACAAGGTGGGGATAACATCCCTAGGTAAGCTGTTCCAATGGTTAATGGATTCGCTATTGCTTGAAATGCTTAAACCAAGACTGAAAGACTTTCTGAAAGAGATGCTGTGCTTCAAACAGAAGTGATGGGCTTGATCCAGAGATTATTCGGGGTGGTTCTCTGGCCTGGGTTATATAGGACATAGGTGATTCTAATGGTCCCCTATGGCTTTAAAATCTATTAATCTAGTTAGTGAAAACAGCTAGTTTCTGACTCTCTCTCTCTCTCTCTCGCAGGCAAAGAAACTGGTAGAGTCACTTCCACAGGAAATCAAGGCCCATGTCTCCAAAGAGGAAGCAGAGAAGATCAAAGCAGCACTGGAGGCAGCAGGAGGGACCGTGGTTCTGGAGTAGATGGCCCACTCTCATGGCTGAGGGACTAATGTACCTCCTGCCCGTGTGGGGCACCTGTCCACTGACTGTCGCAGGGTTCCTGTGCATTTCCAAGGGGCTGAGATCTGCCCTGCTTTTCTGCAGTGGGGTTTGCTCGGTTAGGATGGCCCTGCGCCAGCAGGGTGTGTTCGGGGGAGGGGCTGACATTTGTACCAGCACCGTAATGAACTCTGAATCTATTAAAAAGGTGTGTGTGGGGGAAAGTCTGTCAACCAGTGATGTGTAAAGACCAGTCCTCCCCGAAACCACTCACCAGACTGTGCACGCCAGCCAGCAGAGCTGCCTAGGCGTGGAGTGCACCCGTGCGCCAGCCCATGTG